AGAGGGTGAGTGACAAGTCCCTACTTGCTTGTGATAGCTCCTATTGAACAATCTTATATAACAGGTTCATACTGCTGTTTGGTTTGTGCTCCGTTTTAAGTAACATCATTATAAAAGGCACCTGGGAAACCTTTGTAATGATTATGTGACTGTGACAGGCCTGGGACAAGGGCAGAGCAAGTTTAATGAGTGAGAATAAAGATCTCTTCATTTCCAGCAACTTGACAACAGGAACACAGTTGTCACAGCTATTCTGATACACAGGGCTTCATAAAACATTATTATTTTAGATTCTCTGTTTTATTTCTAGGTATTTAAAACACTATTTTATTCTCCACAAGGCGCCGTGTGTCAGGGCAGACACATGTTATGGGTGAAACGGCAGAGCTTCTCGGATTCAGAGAACAGACACATGAGGAATAAAATTCCAGTTTATTCAATGGGACAAAGTTTTTTTTTTATCTGACAGAACCTTAAACATAACTGTCAGATTTATCAATGAAAGCCTCAGATTAGCCGAGGTGTATAAAGACTCAGGAACTGCTGAATTCGAGGAGCTTAAGAGAAATTTTAGTCCTAAATATGAGAGTATTAATCCTCAACTAACCAGAAAGCTTTGATCTGATTAGAGAGTTTCTCCATTTCAAGGAAGAAAAAAACAACTAATGGTGTTCAGTCAAATTTCAGAGATGTAAGCATGTACTGAGACAAAAGGTTACGCAATATCACAAGCACATCTGTCAGGAAGGACTTTCGACTGTTATGGAAAATGCCAGTAATTTTTCTCAGAGCTCCTTGCCAAGTGATTTGTTCAAGAGGGCTCCCTGTCCTCTTGTTTGTTTGTTCAGTACAAAGCACTACAGCAGGGGACACTAACATAGCTGCCTATTCCCAGCACTGAACTCACACAACCACATTGGTTATCCTTGGGTATCCTTGCTATTGTAATCTTTATATCGTAGATGAAGAAAAGCCACAGCATTAACATTTAGAGCACTACCCTTTTTCATGTGTGTGTCCATGCTTATTTTTATTTCTTCTATTATTCTGGACAGTATACTTTCCTCCAATATTATTTTTTAGGTTACATCTGAAGAATTAGTTTGGAAGCCTAGACAGTGCAGTTGTTTTCTCAAAAGCATGCACATATTAATAAAAATGTTACTTAAAAAACAATTCTACAGCAATCTGGGACTAATTTTGGTTCCAACTTTAAAGACCATAGCATGGTCTTTTACCATGTATGAATTATCCACACCCAGACTGGTCAGCACTAACTGGTTTATGTCTGATTCACAGGTTTAGAAAAGTAATGAAAATCTATCACTGAAAACAATTCATTTATTTAAATCTCAAAACAAAATTTCCTTTTGTTTTTCCAATATTAAACAATTTCCTCCATGTTTGTTTAATAGTTTGAAAACTTAAACAAAGATTACTTCCTTATATTATTTTCCATCTTCCTGGAAACAGAAAAACACAGCAGACAAACAGGTCCCACCTTAAATTTATTCTGGCACTACACAAATTATAATGTGGTTTGTGAAAATCCAGACGAAACTTCGAAGGCGATGGGACACAAAGGTGACCAAAACGGTATAAATGAAAATCTAATAAACAAATGACTTGCAATGACTTACTGTACGTGAAGTGTGTGGCCCACTTCTGTTTCAAGAAAAAGGTCATTGGCAGGAAAGCCCGCTGCCTAATTAGAGCACAGTTGTTGTCCTGCACTGCATGAAGCTCTTTGATTATGATTTATTTGGGTCTAACAGAAACAAAGTCTGACATTCCACTAGAGAGATCTAAAACATCTGCCGATCCAGTTGAACTGTCTCCCAGCCAATAGTCTGCCATTTGTCCTCTCCTGACCATGCCTGCAATTCATTCTGTCTATCTTTTCACCATGATTCACATCTTCACATCTTCCTAAAGAAACATGCAAGAAGCTACAGTGCATGTTGCCTTCCTCGTGGTCCACACATTCCCCCAGCGCTCTGCTATTGACAAATTTCAATTCCGATTTCTGCTTTCATTTCCAGAGTGCGTCCACTCTTCCCCCTGGAGGTTGTTGCCTCGATTTCCATCTCTTTAGCCCCATTTCATCTATCCCTTACCCAGCCTCATGTTTTCTCCCTGTACCCCTCTACCTCATGTTTTCTCTGTCTGTGAAGAGGCTCCACAAATCAAACATCTTTATTTTATTTTTGAAATTGAAAGAGACCTCTGCTTTCAGACTTTAACATGAGTCACTGCTGCTACAGCCTTTAAATAAAACACAGTTATTTGTTTTTCAGCAATTGTCGCTGTATGACTAAATCCTATCAGAGCTACACTGCACAACTTTTTTTCTAATATTTTCACATTACCCAACCTTTAAATAATATAACACAATTTCTTAACTGTCCTTAGTTTATCTCTTTACTGTTCAGGACTACTTATACATACCTCACATATAGTACCTTTTTTTTATTAGTATTTCAAAGATGACTCAACTTGACTGGGGACCTCACAATACTGTAGCTGTTCCCAACACAACAACCATTTAGCTCAGAATTTAAGGATGTTTATGTAGCTAACAGCAGCTAGGTCTGGTGATAAAGGTGTAGAAACCCCTCTGTTACTAAGAACAAACTGTATCATAGGGGAGATGTGAAAGTACATTTCACTAGCAGGGTCAGACTCCAATATATTGTAACGCTTACGGCCGACAGGTACTGTGACGTCGCCGCCCTACCCTGTAATAGCAGGACCACAGCCCCTGGGCTTCAGAGAGATCTCTCTTTAGCTCACCGGGCTGGGCCCCTGTTGAGTGACGCAGGAGTCCCGGGTTCGAGCCCCTGACGGTGGGGGGTCAACCTAATGCGGCAAGGGGCGCCCGCCTGAAGCCCCGTTGCGTTACAATATCACTAATTTCTGCTGCCAACGGGTAATTACTGCTGCCATTTCATTTAAGCTCTGGATCAGTCTTTTGAAAAAAAAATGTCTACATCCACATAACAAATCTTTCACACTCTAGAAACTTTTTTTTTCGTGGGGTAAATCGTTCAATATCATTCACGAGGCAAAATTTACATTCATACCTAGAATTATAATTTAGACAGGTGAACCAAAATGGTCAGTGGACACAATCGTACCTCTGGGACTTTAAAAAACTAACACAAAAGGTCACACTGTAGAGCAAAACGTATTGCACAGCTTCATTAACTCTAAATCAATAACGCAGTTGTGGAAGTAGTCAGGTCTAAACACAGTTGAACGTTCAAAGGCTGAGGTGTGAAAGGTAAGCCTGATGTATGGCAGAAGATATCCAGAGTCTGCAAGAGGTGCAGGTTTAAAAGGCCAAAAGGAGAATTCAGGTCCAACCGTGCTTGCGGTTGTAGTGAATTCTCCCCGGGTTGAACAGCAGCAGGAAACAGGCTGTATGTTTCCCTACTTCATTAAACAACAGGGATTTCAAAACGTTTCAGGAGTTCATTGTCTTTGCAGAGTACTGTAGCTGTAGGTTTAGACATTATCACGGGACACTCACGTGACAGTAAGGCTAGTGCCTCTTGCTCTGTTGCTGTGGCCTCAAGGCTATACTGTTAATCAAAAGGCACAGCCACCAACATCTGGCCCCTGCGTTCAGAGAGACTCAGAAGAGAAAACCTAAGACACACTTCTGCGTCATCTGCACACAGAGCAATAAGACCTGAAAAAACGTTTGCTTACAAAGACGGAGTTGAAGTTTTCCCAAAACTGACGAGTCAGCAGTGACCTAGAATGTATATTAAGGGATACAACAAAGTTTGCGCAGCTGCTGAAGGTGGCATTGTACCGTAACGTCCATCAGCATTCTCCACGTCTTCTTTGATCTGCAGTGATGCAATGCTTAAACAGATCACTAGATGGCAGTCACTCGAACACTCCGCGCGTGAACCGCTCAAGTCATACTATTGGCAGCGCACGGACCCCGTGTGCTGGTCCAAGCACAGGTATACCATGAAGAAAATAATTCAATTGAGGACGCCACAGGTTATCTAATACAATTTACATTTAGTAATATTTTAAATCAAATGAATTGTATATACCCATAGAAATATTGTATTTAAATGAAAAAAACGATTAAAGGAAATATGCAAACACTACTCCAATTAAAAAGCTCTGCAGTTGCACGCAAATGCTGGTAAAAATGCTGGATTGAACATCAGAAATATTGGCACGTATGCTGAATTAAAGACGTAGGTGCAGCTTTATAACATCATGTATTGAAAAGCTTTCATTTATTTATATTCCTATAAAACATGCATGTAGTTAATGAGCAGGAACCGTGTTAGTATTTACAAATTGGTCACCCTTCTAGCGCTCTGGGGTCTTCCCATGGTGAAATCTGGGAACCTCAAACTACTCGACTTTGCCTGTGAGTCGAATGCAGCCTGCTATATGCTAAGGAAACGTATTCATATGCATGTTTATTCTTCTATAACGAACAAAAAGTGACCTGAGCCTCAAAGTAAATGAAAAGTAAAGTTTGGGCATGAAAACAAAGAGAAAGTGAGAGGAAATGGAGAGCCTGGATGTTTAAAGGGAACCAGGCAAAGATGGGATGCAGGAAGCCCTGGAGGGACTTTCACCCTGCCAGTGCTGGCATGCAAACTGCTTTCATGCCCTGTCACGACATGTTACAAACACAGGAAAAACCAACCGAATGAAAAAAAAATGAGCTGAACTTTTAGCAGTTAAACATCACGCAATATTAAACAGAAAAACTCTTGGAATTCCAGGTGACCTGGCCAGGAGACTGTAAAGGCTCTCAGGCCGATCAGATGTGAATTTAAGAGAAGATATTCTGTTGAAAATGCAATTGACAAAGAAGAATCCCCAGCTGCTGTTCTGCTGAAGGCTTTCTAAGAAAACCTTTCATGTAAATAAACAGGTGATGAGACTATTTTCCAAAGTTTCCTCTTTTGAAGTTGGATGCATTCAAATGTCTCCATGTTGGGCGCTAATCCACTCACCTCACGTTGTCATGTTTCTGGATGTAAATCTTATGAAACATCATATCCTCCTGCTTGGCGTTAATGTCAGCTTTCATCTCCATGGCAACGTGGCGAGGAAGCACAGACAGCAGGAGCCGCTCCTGAGTGGAGAAGCAGAGGAAGGAGTTTCAGGCCCCTGCCCTGAGAAACACACGTCCAGCCCAGCTGTGAGAACACCATGACAGCCCCAATCCCTGATACAGCACATGTCACAGCTCCACTCACCCTTTCATCTTGAATGGGGACTGGGGACAATTGTGGTGTGATTCACGGGGCAGGTGATTTGTTAAATTAAATAACAAGTTCAAGTTCACGTTTATTTGTCACTCCAGCCATTTACAAGTATACAGTGGAACGAAACATCGTTCCTCCTCGTCCACGGTGCAAATACAGACAGGACACTGACGTACAGTAGATATTGTAGACAGGCTACACATAGTGCAAAGTGCACACACAAATATGTGAGTGTGTGTGTGTGTGTGTGTGTGCGCGCGTCCCCGCAATACTCTCGCAGCACCTGCAGCTTCAGGTGTCAAAGACTGGAGTTCTCCCTCCAGGTGCAGGGAGAGAGGACCCTGCTCCAGGGAGAAATAATGTGGCTAATACTGGGAAAGCAATAAAATGGATCTCCCACCAGCGACCTCATTTACATACCAGCCCACATCTTAGGGATCAAACAGCAAATATCATCTTCTCCTGGAATCCGTCCAATAACTGCCCCCACAGTTCTGAGGTATTTTAGTCCACAAAAACACACACCGTGCCTTGCATAAAGATAGCCCCCCCCACCCCCTCCAATCATGTCCCGTTTCTTTTAGTTACAAAGGAGGTGAATATTTCGAATCCAAGCTTGAGTGCCCAAACTGCGCCACTGCAGGAGGGTGACGAGGGCGCCTGACCGCTGCCCCCTCCTCGCACTGCAGCTGCAGAAAGACCCCCCCCTACCCCACACGGCACGCGCAGGCATGGGGACAGAAAGGCCTGGGGCTCGTTCCGCGGATGTCTGGGACCTGGGACCCCCCCAGGCGGCCCTCCGCGGGCCCGGCGCGGCTCACCTGCTGCTGGTTCTCCCGCTGAGAGTGGAGCCGGGCCTGGATGCACTCCCGGGTCTCCTGGAAGGCCTGTCTCTGGGACCCCTCCGCTGGGTAGTGAGTGCACACCCCCACGATATTGGTACAGGAGAAGATCAGGACATTGGACACCAGCTGGAAGGAACAAGCAGGCGTTCAGGTCAAAGTGTTCCCGGAAAAGGCACTCTGCAAAGGTGCAGAGGAACATTTTCAATATCGCTGCCATCCGTTTGCTTTTTTCTCCCATTATCTCGGAGAGAGGGCTCGCCATTCCGGCTTTGATGTTCTGATGATAATCCTGCAGGCAATCAGGTCGCCTTAACTTTCGCACATTCGCCGAGCTGTACAGTATCTCCGTGTCTCTTCTCTTCCCTTTGTTTGGATTTCTGATGGAATACAGCAGACATGTGTTTGGCATGATGTTATTCACTAAAAAAAAAAAAAAAAAAAAACCCTCTACCAAAGCAAGCATAGTTACAGAGTGTGATTCTGAAATGTAAGCAGACTGATTGAAAAAACAGGCATGGAGAGAAGGCTGACCCCCAGCACACTCGTCTGACATCACGGGCAACACAGCAGAATGCGTTTTCAAGCTTGCGATGACGATCCAGGTGACAGTGGAGAAAGAATACAAAGCGCCCTTCATATCAGGTCAACTGGAAACACATGGAAACATTTAGAACAGGACAGACTCTGTACTGGGCACTCGAGTGGCAGAAGTCCTAGCTGGACCCATCCATTCACTCTCTAACCTGCATTGTCCAGTACAGGGGCAGGGGAAACTGGAGCCTGTCCTGGCAAGCCAATGCACACGCAGGGGCCAGTTTTCCCAGCAGCCTATGAACCTAGAAGAATGAGTTTGGACTGTGGGGGGAATCCCGGAGACCATGCAAACTCCGTGCAGAGACACGGAGGCTTCTTTCACTGGTGAGAGAAGTCAGTGAAAATTAAACCAAGTACGAAGGCAGAGCAGCCACCTCCAGAACCTTCGTAATTACTATGTTCTCATGCAAACATCAGATCCTGCTGTTTTAAAGGGAATTTATTTTGTTACAGTGCAGTGTGATGGAGTTCTGTGAGGTGTTTGACTGAAAACAGTGGGTCTAGTTACAGCTGTAAAAACACACAGGGGATCTACTCCACTAGGATAGAGCTGTGTCTCAGGAGTGTACACAACAAATATGCACAGATCTGATGTCTATCAGGCTTAACAGCAAGAAATGTCAGCTGGATATGAATGTTTCTGCCTTTCAAAGCTCAACCCTAAAAGTACAATTTTAAAAACTAAACAGGAGAGATGCTACCTGACAAGCTACAAAAGAGTACAGGCAGAACATTTTTGGACGCAACTGTATTGTGAAAGTGCTCTTATATCCCATTGTATTTGATTTTTTATTGTCGCACAGTGCAAAACCAGAGAAGTGTTTGATGAAGTGTTTAAGAAATACATCAAAGTGGCACGCAGACAAAATTGTGCCAAAATATTTTAAGCACACCTTTCAAATGGAATGGGACAATATGGGATAAAGTGGCCTTAAATAATGTTTGTTAGGTATTGGGAATTTGCAAGCAAGCAAGTATGGCATTTCAAATCTACACATCACTAGTCTAGACTACGTCCAGAAATTAAAGTTTTTCTATTCTTCTATTTGAAGTTTCAGGTCACAGTGCTGTGCTAGCTGCCAGACACATGCACTTGACACCCATGGAAACTACAAAACACCAGATAAACGTTTACGCAGCAGAGGGTCAATACAAAAGTATCTATCCACTGGACGAATCTATTTATATCCGTTTGGTAAGTTATAACCTTATATGGACTCTTAAGTTGCTGGACACAAAAACAAAATGACCCTATAGGTTGCCAGAACATCTCATTGGAAGAAGAATTGCAGTGAAGTGGGCTTCCATGCTGATAGACCCTTGACTCTTCATGACAAACAAACAAAGCTCATTCCTAATAGCTGGGGATACTGGTGCAGCTTGGCTGCCTCTCCTATTTGCTAAATGCTTTGGAATCCTTTGGAAGGAAAAGCACTGTATAAATGGAAAAAATTATTATTATTGTTGTTGTTGTTGACAAGGTGCTACAGATTCCTCCAGTCCAGCCAATATTAACTGTAAACTCGGAGCTTGACAATATATTCTACCACACTGGGTTCAAAGCATAAACAATTACATAATTGTTTCATATCCGTCTATTTCACTCCATATTGCCATTCTGTCACAAACAGAACTCTCAGGGTCCTGACTAGGTGCTTTAATCTTTCTATGTTTGAAATAAAAAAAAATCTTCTTCCTGTAGTTTATTCAGTCTGACAGTGTGGTCCCTCACTCCCACAACCCTATATTCTAGGCGGCTCCAGGGTAGAATATTCACTACCTCTGTTGGAAGGGGTTCAACAATCCCAGAGTATCTAAATACAAAATGGAACTGTGTGGGTTCAGAAAAACCATATGACTTCTATAAACCTTTTATTTAAGGATCTTTAATTTGCAAACTCTATCACTTGGAAATGTTACGTACTGGGACAGAGGTGTGCAAGATTTGCTGTAGCAGTTTATTAGGAACTGCACTGAACTGTAGTATACAAACCCTTTTTTTGTATACAAACCCAATCCAGACATGCAGCCTCACTACACTCTGCTGCTAAATGGTACAAAACTGCTCCAGAATTTACATCGCGTCTCAACCTATTAGCTTTTTGTGAATGTGCATATAAAACATTATTTGCATATATGCTGTTAATTACCTCTGACGATAAAGGAAGTAAAATGGGAGACCCCAGAGTGCACATGGACGAAGTTACCATTACATTCGGAGCCCTCTAGTGTGCCGTCTTTAAAAACAGACTTCCCCATCAAATTTCAATAACTTAAATTTTCCAGCATCGCATGCTTCCAGAAAGTCTATGCCCATATGTAGCCAAATGATTCAACTGGCTTTTAAGATCCTCAGAGGCATAATATAACTGTACATATAAGACACACTCAGACTTTTCCAGCATTCATGCCTATTATGTCTTTAATAATCCTTTCTATCCCCCACAGACCTTCCACCTCTAGTTCATCAAGTCCTGTTCTGTCTCACCCCTCGAGAAACACAGATCAGTCTGCAGAGCTCTAATCTTGTGGTGTGGCTCGACCCCCTTTTTTTCTTTCTAAATAAACTTTATTTCATCCCACAATCAGTAAATGTTCTGACAAATGATCAAACCATCCTCCAATAAAAACTTTCCGAATGAAGTGATTATCCATTGTCCAATCAGTGCAAGTGGATGCCGGGGCTGGATTTGCGCGATGAAAGAGCCCCTCCAAGCCCACTTGCTGTTGTCCATTTCCCTGTCCCGGCACTGAAACTGTGGAGCAGGGGGTCGGGGAACAGGGATCCCCACTTCAGTCCCTGTACAGGGCCCACAGCCCTTGGTTCGACCCCCTTCTCTGTATCGTTCCAATTTTAGTATACGTGCTGCCCCCTTACTCAAGGTGAGCCTGGACAGGGAATATGAACCTTGAGGCCAGTTTCAGCTCAGGTAACACCACCACACACCAGCTCACGGAGGGGCAGGTCTGCTGACAGTTTGGGCACACCAAATCTTAAAATCACAGGTGTAGTGTGAATGAAAAAATAGCTATTTTCTACACATTTGGTCTGTATGATTGACAAAGTTAACACGGTAAACAGTGAAAACATGTGCATTTAAAAGTGAGAAAAGGAACACAAAGGATTATGGGAATATTGAACAAGCTAAACAACCCTGTGATTTAATCCAATTCTTTGGCACCTCGGTCCCAAATCAATTTGAACCTGCCCAATACTCACGCCCTTTCTTGCTCCCACTTGTCAGTACCTGGAACATTTTCTCGACATGTTGAATAGTGATCTAATATCAGAAAACCAGAACTCACATAAATTGAATGGATACAACTAACAATTGAAAAAAGACAATGAAAAGTAAAACAGGCAAAGCAATCAACTTTTTTTTTTACAGGTCAGAATGCCACAAGTTGCTCAATTATATCGCTGAACTAAATGTAAGTTAACAGTTAAAGGCCATCTTATTCTATGCTTATTTTAAGTATCAGCAAACACTAGAATGTCCAACAATCATGTGGTTGCTATTTTAGTCTATCGCAGAGACGTGAGAAACATGTGCCCTCTGGTCTGCACCATCACACACTTAAGATGAGGGTGGGGCTTCGCATTGTGGCTCAACGATGCTGTTTTCTCAGGGTGTCATAAACGTTCATGGATTTTTTAAAAGGCAGCTGGAAAGCTCAGCGAACTGTGTTGGTATATCTGTGTAGATGGCAGAATATGAGCCAGGCAGGTTCTTTTCTTCATAAAGAAAATCCCTGTTTGTGAAGATCTCCCAGAGATCCATCAAATCAAGCAGCCTGCGAATACCCTGGCCAACATTTACAAATTGCTTCAAAGTCACTATTTAAGTTTTGCCGGGGTCTTACATCAGGTCTTTCATCACTTGCAACTGAGGTATAAGCAAGCAAATTTTCAGGTACAACACTGTTCTAGTATGCTGTTAATGATTGGCAACACTGTCATAAATTTCATTCAGCAACACTACGTCTGTGTCAATATTTGGTGTCAAAATAGTTCCGGTTTTATTCTGCTCTGTCTCATTCAGTTCAATGCCTTCTCACTCCTGAGCTTCTGAGCAAATGACCTTTGAGTTCCACACTGAAATGTGACCCTCCTCTGTCAGAGAAAGAGGTGCTTAATTATTTTGTCATCCAAAAAGAAAAACTCATATGCTGGGCAATGAAACAACACCATCATAAAATGTCTCCGCAGGCTTCGTTGCTGATACAATGGACCACATTGTACTGTGCGCCGCATTGCTCCAGTCATGTGCAGCTGGCTTTGCAGAGCATGGAACAGACATTGTGTATTATTGCACACCAAAACAAATGCTCCTGCCAACATGTAGTATTCTTGAAGCACCCTGACAGACGATGAGGAGGTTCCAGGTGCCAGACCACTGCCTTTATTGTTCCAATGCAAAAACTGGATAAAAAACACACCAAACCACTGTTAAACCTGTAGTGCCTACTTCTGTAGTGCAAAAGGTAAAGGGAAGGACATTGCTCTGATCCATGTACTGTGGCTAATCAGC